AGTATAGTACCTGCAGCTGTTATAAACTGCCTAATATATCCGGTATTCCATTGCCAAGAATGAGACTTGTGGTCACTTTTACACTCAGACTGACACACACGTTGGCACTTGATACAGAAGTGGCAGTGTTTGCCATCATCCAAAACTATGTAATTTCCGCTAACATCCACCTCCCTTACATTACTCCAGTCAACTCCAGACGACTCCTTAACCAGTTTGCTATGTTCCTGTTTTGAGTCATACTTCAGGCTATTGAGCAAAAGTCTCCCCGTGATATTGAGATGCACAGCCTCTCTCTGATTCAGAGAATCGAGGAGTTTCTTGTGACTGTCTACCATGTCTCCCCACTGATCCGTGTACCTTCTCTGCTTATCACCTTGCGGACAAGGTAAGTAAATAGGCTCATTATTAAAGAAGAATACGTCTCGATAGTATATTCCTGCTTCTTCAATAACTCTCAGGGCATTTGTATTTTCACTGACTGCAAATGTCATGAGAACGTCTGTTAAGGCGTTGGTGTCAAAGCACAGAAGATTTCTGATCATCCGAAGGATTTTTCTGTTTTTCTCAGTATACCTGAGGTCTGAAGCTTTCCAAACTATACCAATGCTGTTAAGATGTTTAATCCAAGTTTCATCTGACAAGTAAAACCGGAGACAACTGTCATTAATTTTATCCAAGTCTTGGCCTCCTGTGTCACCGAATCCCGGCGTATCAATTATCATATAATTGTACTCATATGGCATCCCATTTTGATGGTATATCAAGTACACTGATATATATTCCGTCTGACTGTATATTTGACTCTTATCGGCTTGGTCCATCTGGTCCTCCAACTTGAGTCTAATTCTGTCCTCTCTTTCAACACCAAAGACCCTGTTGAGGAAAGCGTTGCAGAACAAGGTTTTGCCACTCCCGGTCTCCCCCAGCAAGAGCATCGCCTTCACTTCTCGGTCGTTCTCAGGCCCAATGGCGAACACACGCACCTTGTTCTTCTTATCTTCGTGCTTCATTTCCGGCTGAAATTGGTACACAGTGAAGCTGCGCGTGTCTTCTAAACGCACAGCATTTTCCTCGACCCATTTTTGGAGTTGGGGATCCATCGCTGCAAGAACAATTTGCAAATATTATGTCAGATGCCAATTAAATATATATATATATATATATATATATATATATATATATATATATATATATATATATATATATATATATATATAATATATAATATATAAACGCAGCAAAGTGTTGCAAATAAATTATGAATATTATCAGCAGCTCAGGAGAACTTAATTTGGCACGGTGTTTAAGAAAGAAATCTGCTCACAGGTTGGAAACGGAAACGCATGCCCCCAAAATAACATTTACAAAGAGAAAAACAAAAGTGGCATGAACAGAAGAGCGCAAAGAGCACAGGCGCAGAGGCAGATACCCCACGCGAAGGATTGTCGAATAGTCGAAAACAGAAGCCGGTGTTTTCAGTTGAATTTGGATATGCAAGTGGTCAATTTATGTATCTATATGATGATTTTTTATGATTCGCATCTATATTCTACCCTACACTTAGACGGCGTCTGTCCAAAACACATCCGACCTTATTTTTTTGGCACCATGAACGGCCGAAAGGGGCGACTGTCGTGAATGGTAGGGGAGTCGAAGACGGGAAATGCTTTGCGTGGTATTGCCGTAAAGTATGGTTAGTACTGCATTTTTCGTTTTTTTTTACGTTTTACTTGGTGTATTTCAACGTTTCTCAACCTGGTGGATTTTCGTGAAAATATTACAATAATACTGAAGTATTTTACAATTTTACCAAATGTTTTTCTTTCATAAAACCAAATATATTCTGATAACCGGCTTCGGCAAATGCAGTATCTTTCTCGATATTTGAAAAATGGCACATTATCCTGCATTGTGTCAGAACTGGGCAACAGTTGATGACAACGCATAAGCGGCCGTACTTATCTTTGAATTCGTGGAGCGACTCCTTATCGCCGGAGAATCGACCACGTACTGAACCTGTTCTCTTTCCTGTTCCTTTCACCGTTTTAACCGTACCGGATGTGACACTCGGCAAATACATACTTCAAGTGATTACTGTGGTTTTCATGGTGGCAATACCCTGCAGTTAATAAAATACCGTGCATTTATGATGAAATATCCGAAAACTCCATTTAGACAAAGGCATAAGGATCTCCCGTCTTTTTACCATCGTCTCTCGTGGGGCCCCGGCAAGCTTTAAAGACACTCCAGGGCTTGAGGAACACTGGTCTATTCCATGCCCTGGCCACTGTGTGACGCAGCTTCTCGAAATAACTTGCTAAACTAAGAGTGTCTCCACTGCAGCGAAGTTCATCTCGCCAGGTCGGTCTATCGACCATCTTCAGGCTCATTATAAATGGCTGTCGAAGCTTATTATTAATTATGCAATACTATGATCAAAGCATCGAGAAATTTACCTTACGTACGCTCTCTTCGGCTGAGTGTTCTCCCTGCAAGC